GGATATCTCTTGCAAACGTCATCAGACTTGCCTATAAATAGTTAATAGAACCATACATCGGTATTGCTTTTCAGTTTACTTTGATGTTATAGAAAAAAAGAGTTTTTATATATTATCCAACCCTTATATCTAACTCCCAAACCAGGATCTAATAATTTCCTCCTTTCTCCTCTTGGGAGCAGGAAACTAATCAGTTTATGATATGAGCAGAATATATGTATAGAGGGAATACTCCAGGATACTCCAGATACTACAGGATATTCCAGGATACTCCAGGATACTCCAGGATACTCAAGGATACTCCAGGATACTCCAGGATACTACAGGATACTCCAGGATACTTCAGGATACTCCAGGATATTCCAGGATACTCCAGGATATTCCAGGATACTCCAGGATATTCCAGGATACTCCAGGGTACTCCAGGATACTCCAGGATACTTCAGGATACTCCAGGATACTCCAGGATACTCCAGGATACTCCAGGATACTCCAAGATACTCCAGGATGCTTCAGGATACTCCAGGATACTCCAGGGTACTCCAGGATACTCCAAGATACTCCAGGATACTCCAGGATACTCCAGGATACTCCAGGATACTCCAGGATACTCCAGGATACTCCAGGAGACTTCGAGAGACCTTCGTGTGTAACGTATAAAATGAATAATAACAGTTAGTATGTTGGTCTACTTTCAAACATTCTCACTTATAGATTATTGGATTTACATTCCTCAGCACAATAACCGTTTGTTATACTTTACTCGTACCTTACATTTTCTTTTTTTCCATTTCATTTGTTCAAACTTGTCTGTTTATTCCAATCTTAACCTTTTCTAACTTAATATATTATATTCTAAGCTATTCTAACCTATTTTAACATATTCTAACCTATTCTAACCTATTCTGACCTATTCTAACCTAACCTAACCTGGTCTAACCTATTTTGACAATTCTTTTTCATCTGCGGGGGAATGTATACTGCTTTCATTTTTATTACCTGCAGGCACTTAGCTCTCAATATAATCCTAGAAAACTCAACTTTATGCTTTATCTAAAAATAATCTTTAAACTGAAAAAATAAAAGGTTTAACTCTAGTTTAAAGCTTAAAGAATGCACTAAGAGGTATTATAAACTTTTAGAACAAAAACATTATCTTTCAGACAATTTATTAAGTTCAAGCTAACTATATATTTTTATACTTTATTAAGAAAAAAAAGCGGCGCCGCGGCTAGGACACGCTAGGGGGCCGGGCGCTGCGGCCACATGGTCAATTATATTCATGTCTTATAAATAAGATCCATATACAAAATTGATAGGAGTGGGGGGTTGGGGGGGGGGGGGGGGGGGGGTTCCAAAAATCGATCTATGATCATTAAACACAAAAAAAAATGTTCGTTTGTGTTATTTACTTGATTCTAATCAACGTTTTTGGCAAATACAATCTATAACATTTTTCAATTCTACAAATAAGTTTTATTTTTAATTATCTTTATTGTTAATTTTGTATCTTTTTGCTTTTCTTTCTAGAGTGTTTGAGAGAATTAGGGTTTTGCAAGCCACTGTTTTCATTTTAACATCGTAAAAATCTAAATTCCCTGAGTTTTCTTACAACATTGATGGATTAAAAGAAAATTAAATCAACATTATTTTTTGAAGTTTTTTTTTAATTTTCACCGTCCAGAAACCCTCCCTGTTTTTTTTATAAAATGTAAAATACTTTTTAACAACCAAACTTTGTTTCAAAGTTATCTCTCATGCACAAGTAGTTACTGTTATTTATAAAAACTAGGCTTACAGGGCGCTTCTCAACCGTTTTCTTCTAACATTTTAAACCGCAATTTTCATCGTATAAACATTTTCCAGGCAACATTTCTGATCGGTTCAGCTGTTTGGCTTTCTACTAATAATTTTAATCTTTCAATGTTGCTTTGTAGTTGGAAAACTCAAAGTTTCGTGGACGTTTCGGAGCAATTTAAAAATAATACATGTCGACCCTTTTTAGAAAGTTTCAATTTTGATAAAAGTTGATCAAAAGTTTTGTATAAATTAAAATTTTTATTCTTCGATATTGACATTTTATTTACAAACTCCACAACAAAACTATTCGATAGCACACCTAGACAGAAATATAGTCAGACTGCATATAAAAAAAAATAACGTTTTGTTCTTCTCAATAGCTCTTTAATAAGAGGAGTTATGATTAGAAACATAAAAGATGTTATGTGCAATTTATTTTAGTTTGCCATGATAGACAGCTTTGCACCTGGAAAACATTTGGAGGAAAAAAGCTCAAAAAAATATTTTTTTTACTCAAGTATGATAGTATATAAAAACACTTTAAACTGCAGTAAACGGACCTCATTTTAGATAAAATATTCTCTAAAGGGAGTGTTCGCGAAAAGTGAAAGGGGTTATAGGCTTACTGAGAAAAATAAGCGCTTTTGATCGCTATTAATCTTACTTTTTTCTGTTGCGTCTATAAGGAGAAAATTGTGAAGAACGCAGTGTCCATACAAATTCAGAAAGATTCAACATTCAACTCGGATCGTAAAATATCAATTTAATTCTTAAAAAAACATTCAGATATTACTACCAACAGAAATCAACTATTTTTCGACGCATTCGTATATAGTGAATATTTCAAAATATTTTGGACCATTAAAAAAAAAATATTTCGCTGGCGCTGGATTTTAAAACATTCCTGGAAAATATGAAAATGTCGTCTTCATCATCAAAGATCTTCGAAAAAGAAAAAAATGTTTTTAAAAGTAACTATCAGATCATAAAAAATAAAAAATTATTATGAAATATCAACTATATACGAAAGCGTCTAAAAATTATCGATGATTATTGGTTGTAATATCTGAATGATTTGTTTGGAATTAAGTATACGCAACAGATAAAAATATGATTAGTGGCGATCAAAAGCGCTTATTTTTCGCCGTAAGCCTATACCCCCTTTCATTTTTCGCGAACACTCCTTTTAAGAACAGTTTTGATTACTGAATGTTCAACTAAAGCAATTCAGGCATATTAAAAATACTACTTTTAAATTGTCATGTGGGTCACACAGTATTATTAGTTATATATTAAACGAAACATAATATAATGCTCGCATCCTTTGAACCATAGATCTAGGCTCATTTGGAAGGTATTGGGTGTTCCAAAAAAGTATGTTATTTTGCATAAAAATCAATTGCTATACAATTAGTAACAATTATCAAATTATCAGAATTTGTAGTAAAACAATGACCCAGAGATTCTATGAATATCGATCATGAATAAGTGTACACCGTGTAAACACTATTATCCTGGTATCCCGGTATTCGGGTATACTGGTATACAGGTCCCAGGAGAGTAATAATAAAGTAAATACACCAAACTAAATGATTTATCTCTGGTGCTTCTCCTATGCTGTATTGGTGGTTAATTTACCCAATAAAACGAGTATTGAGAGAAAATATATAAGGGAAGACCAAAAAAAGAAATTTTGAAATATAAGAACATTTTTGTGCGCTGTCGGTAAAAATTCTAACATTTTTTCTTCATTATCGAAATAATTTTGAAACTACAAAATGTTTGTCGTATTTAAAGAATAAATTGAGACCTTGATAAAAAATTGTAAGAAATCCTTAAAATTCTTTTTATTATAATATACGAATATATATTTGTGATTTCGATTTTAAAACGAAAAGTTAGAGTTTTCTCTAAAAGTGTAGACTATAGAGAGCCTTTACTAATCCTGAAACTCGAAGTTTAAAAATGAAAAGAAACAAATTTATTCACATAAAATCAGGATTAAATTATAAATTTATGGATAAGATACAGATTTATTCACAGTAAAATAGGATTAAATCATAAATTGATGGATAAGATACAGATTTATTCACATTAAATCAGCATTAAATTATAAATTAATGGATAAGATACAGATTTATTCACAGTAAAATAGGATTAAATTATAAATTGATGGATAAGATACAGATTTATTCACATAAAATCAGCATTAAATTATAAATTAATAGATAAGAAACAGATTTATTCACAGTAAAACAGGATTAAATTATAAATAAATAGATAAGATACAGATTTTTTAATACTCTTTGCTGATATATTTTGAATAGAAATGGGATGAACAAAATCATAATAGATAATAATAGATAATAATAGATAATAATAGATAATAATAGATAATAATAGATAATAATGATTTCCTACTTTATTTTTCTGCACAATGATTATGTTATACTGATACAGAAATACTTTTAGTAACAATGTCAATAAACTTATTAATCAACACAGTGCAGACTATACTTTGTTCTTCATAATATTACTTTTTCACTAATATTAAGAAACTTGATTGAAAACCCAGCTACTTCCCCTACTTAAATATTCAACAAAGCTAAGTACATTCCCGTGGTTCTGTCGAGTTCCCCAATTAAATTTTGAGGCAATTCAGTCCAGGCGTTCATGAGTCATGATCGGACATACAAAAAAACCAGAGACTTTAATTATATTGAGGTCATTGTCGCAAGGGGGGGGGCAGTGGCCATCGTGCCCCCCCCTTCTGTGAACGCCACTGAAAGTAAATATTTTCGTGCACTTTAACTACTTATTAAGAAATTATAGTACGTAACACAAACATTATTATAAAGAATAATTATAACATTTAGATGCAGAATATCTCTAGTTTTTAATCCTAACATCTTAAAGGGATTTCAAGGGATCCTCCATTGATAGAGAATTCAAGTTACTCTAAAAGTTTGTTTGATCAAAAGTAAATGAGTTATCCATGTTTTTTACTTTAAACAACTAATTATTTTCCACTGGGGTTGGATCTGTTAAATAGTGACTAGCAGATTTCTGTTAGTTGCTACTGAAACAATGGAGGAAATTATCAGAATTAATCAGAATGAATGCAAATATGCCATTAATTACAATGACAGTCCCTTTAACAGTTATTAAAGTCTATTTGAATAATATTACGTTGTTTTCAGTTACAACGGGAGCAGCCCGTATCCTGGACAGCTTCTTCTACAAGGATACCCAGGGAGCAGCCACATATCACAGCTTCTTAACACCAACTCTTTAGCTGCAGTTTCCACTCAAAGTCAGCTGTCCCAGCTGTCCTACCCGACACCTGCTGTTGTAGATAAAGCTGCTGCAGCAGCTGCTGCGGCTGCTGCAGCTCAAACCAAGAAGTTCCGGCCACCGTTAAAAAGTGGAAGTAAAACTAATAAATATATTCCTAAACCTATCCCTCAAGAACTTGGAAACCTGAAAACCTACAGTAAGTTTATTTTTATTATTCATGTTTTTTAAAATATTATATTTATATCTCTTGAATAGCCTTACTGTTGTATAATAAATATTTTTCTCGTCGAAAATTCTAAATTGAAAACTGCTTTATTCGAATTGTTTGGTTTAATATTTCTAAAGTCAACTCTTTTATTGACAATCTATATAAAAAAACGAGACATTCATATATATGTTGCGTATAGCCGGGCAAACTATATAATAAAACAAGACATTCAAATATATGTTGCGTATAGCCGGCCAAACTTTATAATAAAACGAGACATTCATATATATGTTGCGTATAGCCGGCCAAACTATATAATAAAACAAGAAATTCAATATATATGTTGCGTATAGCCGGCCAAACTATATAATAAAACGAGACATTCATATATATGTTGCGTATAGCCGGCCAAACTATATAATAAAACAAGACATTCATATATATGTTGCGTATAGCCGGCCAAACGGTTGGACTTTTTTGCGGATACCCCCCATGTGTTATAGGCTAAACAAAATCAATTTTTTTTACAAAAAAATAAAATTTTCAATATTTTTTTTCTATTTTTTTTTCTATTTAAAAAAATGTATTTGGTTAGATTAACCCTTTTCAGTTCTAAGAATATTGTAACTACAAAAGTAAAAAAAAATCAGAAAATAAACACAAAAGAAGAAACTAACCTAAAACAATATATGATAAATGTAAAATTCTAATGTTCTAATAAGAATGTTTAAGGCAAAAATTATTTCATGAGACCTTTTTTGTCATAAAGATTTAAAACAAACTGTTAAAGATTATTTCTACATTATTAGAGGGGATGTTATCGTAATGCAAAGACGACATTGCCCAATTTACTACGGTAAACCCTTAAACGCGTTGTCTGATGAAGTAGTATGAATTAGGACAGATCAATGTTTATAATTTAAAAATGGTTGTTTTCAATGTGGTTTCTCTACAAAATTGACTGGCGCATTTCTACTGCAGGAAAATTCTTAAAAAACCTTCTACATTATTGATCAGAAAAAGGTTTCAAGGGTACCGAATCGTGAATCGGGCATTGTCATCTTTAAAATTTCGCCTCTGACAGATTATAACCATGAAGGTGGGGTGACATGAGGCTACAGCTGAAAACTTTAGAATGGTAAATATCGAGATCAATGCTTGATCTCCTCTTTTTCTTGATCTCCAGATTAAATAATGCTTGTTCTCCTCTTGTTATTAATCTCCAGATTAGTTAACCCCTTCGGGATTAATGATATCCAATTCTAAAGTTTTCAGCTCAGGTCCCACACAAAAGGTATTGAGTTTTTGCAACAAACTTTGATTTTCTAATTTTTTTATCTTTGCAAACCAACGTCACAGACCTTAGATATTTCAAACTATAAATTCTGATTGATCAAATACTTTAAGTTTGAAATATGAAAGGTTTACAAGTTAAGTTTGCTAAGAGAAAGGGATCAGACAGTTTGAATTTGTGACTAAAGACTCAATTCCTTTGGACTCGAATGGAAACTGACGTGACAAATAAATAAGAATTTTTTTTCCTGATTTGAATAAGATTATCCATGATTAAGGTAATCCTGATATCCTGATATGTGGGAATTGTCGTGAGCTATTCAGTGATCTAGTGGACATGCTGGAGCATAAGAAAAACTATTGTAAAATGAGGTTTACGTGTAAATGTGAACTAGGATCACAGAACAGTGCTGAACAACACAACCATAGTAGTATCTCAAATAATTCAGGTCAGTCAACTCAGCCTTGGAAAATAGTGTACTTGAAATATACTCACTGTAAAGAAGTGTATTCTAACTATATATATTGTGAACTAGGATGTGAGGACGAGAAGAGTCAAGGGAAAAAAGTGTACTTGAAATGTACTCACTTCCAAGAAGTGTACCCTAACTATATATATTGTGTACTAGGATGTGAGGATGGAAATGTCAAGGGAAAAAAGTGTACATGAAATGTACTCACTGTAAAGAAGTGTATTCTAACTATATATATTGTGTACTAGGATGTGAAGACGAGAAGAGTCAAGGGAAAAGAGTGTACTTGAAATGGACTAACTGTGAAGAAATGTACTCTATCTTATATATTTATATATATCTATATATATATATTGTGTACTAGGATGTGAGGATGGAAAGAGTCAAGGGAAAAGAGTGTACTTGAAATGTACTCACTGTAAAGAAGTGTTCTCTGGAGCCTGGGATCTCATGTTCCATGTGCAAAGTGCACACTCAGTAAATATCTACTCATTGGGTGATTCAAACAAAAAGGTAAATTTTTTAGAAATTTAAAGCATGGAAAAAAATAAGACAAAAAATAAAGTTTAAATACTGATTTTCCGATACCTATATCTTTGCAATTTCAACCCAATGTCGCATATGTTTAAAATATCAAAGGTTTACACCATCCGGTTGCAAAGATATAGGAATTATAAAAAATGGATTTTGTGGCAAAGAAATAATTCCTTTTTGAATAACCAAAAGCAAATTATTCAATAATGTTTTCTCTTCATTATTTTTAAAGAAGACTGCGCAATTTAAAGTCCCTCTCCATTTCTAAGTACCATGTTTGATTCCCAACAGTATCCTTTATACCTTTACCTGAGTAGCATTGAGGATATTGTTTTTTTTCATTGTCAGCTGCATATAGTATAGAGTGACCAAAAAAAATATTAAGTGTCCATTTAATTGGAGGAATATTTGTATTAAGTGTACAGTCCCTTTAAATGGAAGATATTTGAATTAAGTGTGCAGTCTCTTTAAATGGAGGATATTTCAATTAAGTGTACAGTCTCTTTAAATGGAGGATATTTGAATTAAGTGTGCAGTCCCTTTAAATGGAGGATATTTCAATTAAGTGTACAGTCTCTTTTAACTTATTCATATACTGAAAAGTTCTTGCAAAAATTGTGGTGAAACACATTTTTCTAAATTTGTTCCTAATCTTCAAATTAAACATAAACAAAATAATTTATGTACTATATGTAAGTGTGTAATCTATAAACCGTTCTCCTTCATGTTAATTAAAAATCAACATTCTGTTCTTAAACCTAATAAAACTATACGTCTCCTCAGTGATCCAACGTTTGAACGCTCTGGCGCAAAAAGATTTTGCCAATTACTTCTTTTAAACTGAAGCTAAAACAAACTTGTTGTAGTTCAAAAAAGTATTCTTGTGTTCTTGTATTCTTGTATTCTTGTATTCTTGTATTCTTGTATTCTTGTATTCTTGTATTCCCTGTATTGTAATGAGCAATGTATGGCAGATTATATAAATGAGTACTGAGCAAGATGTCGAGTGTCAAGCATATTGTGGAAAATTACATAATTAAAAATAATTGAATCAATTTATATCTAAAGCTTAGATATTATTAAGGCAGTCTTTCAATCATATTGATAAAACATATCAATTTTATTTGTAAGAATCCTTTTCTTTCCTTTTATGTAAAAGTTAAAAAAAAACTGTTTTTCTAATTTAGTACAAAATAAAAGTCGTTCTGATTTAAAAAGAACCGTTTTTTATTGATTTCATGTCATCTCTTTCACAAACAAAAAACGTTTTTTTAAAACTTTTTATTGAGACTAATTTTAAACATTTCTAAATAGATGAAAAATCAGAAACAGAAACTTCTGTATACATGTACTCTCCACAATTCTAAAAGAAATAGTCTTTAAGGTTATTAAAAAAAATTTCAGACAAATGTTAACAATGAATTTACGCGTTAAGCAGACGTTTTGAAGTCCTGAAGAGGACCTCTCTAAAAAAATATTGTATTGCAAAAAGAAAGGATCTATTACTTTTTATTTCATAAACGTAATGTGTTAAAAAATATCGAATGTGTTAATATATTTACAAAAGGCGTAAATAAATATATAAAGTAATTTACATCAAATTATTATTACTTCAACTATAACAATTATTATCAGCATGTAATATTATTATAATTATTATTATTATTATCATAATTATTATTATTATTATTATTATTTTATTATCATTTTTACTTTTATTATTATTATTATTATTATTAATTTTCTCAGATCATCATTCTCATCATTATCATTATTATTATTATAATTATTTTGTTTCAGGTTGCAGGAAAGGAATGTACTAGTTAAAGTGCTGTTTTGTGACGTAAGCCTGTTTGTGAAGTTCAGAATGTACAGTACAGTACAAAGAGTACATAACATGCAGTACAATACTAATTGTGTAGGGCAGTACAGAATGTACAGTGCAGTCGTGATTGCAGTACTATTGATTGTACAGTACAGCACAGAATATGCTCTACACTACTGATTGTACAGTACAGTACAGTGCATAATGTGTGAACCAGTACAGAAATATTCTGAATCTAAACTTGTGTGCAGAATGTGATGCAATTATACCAGAGATATCTAGAGATGCAAAAGTGTGTAAGTTTACTTTAAAAAAAGGCAAGTTTTTGGAAAAATTCGACGGAAATACAAGTCAATAAAATTCACATAAACATTCCAAATATGCAAAGACGGTTCGGTAGGACCCGCGTAACCAGATATGGATTTTTTTCCTTTTCCCATTTTAATTATCATTACTTAAATATTTACAGGTTTGAAAGGTTTGCAAGGTTTTGCACAAAGAATTTAGGTTTACTTACGCATCAATAGTATTCTCAATTTATTTATCAGAATAATGGGTTGTAAACTTGTAAAATTGTGAATCCGATAAAAAATATTGAAATTTTCGATAAAATCTGTAAAAAAAAAATTCTATTTGCTTGCTATTTGTTTTTACGTTATAACGGTACAGTGTACAGTGCAATTTTACACTGTAAAATGTACTTAAGACAGGGTATCGTTATGAAAACCAGTTTTGGAACCCGGGTTTCACAAATGGGTTTACCCAGTTTTGTAGATATCGATATTAAGTTTTGAAATATTATTTTATTTAATCCTTTATATCTTACCATTTTTATCAAATCTCTTCAATCAAAATCTACACAAATAATAAGACCCCAAAAAGAAAACTCGGAAGTTTCGTTCAACGATACTCTTTTAAATTTCAGGCTCTGTGCAGTTACAGTGTAAAGTGTACATATTAAATTATTTTGTTGTACTGTTTGTTGAATTTACTGTATTCTGTACAAGGAAGTATATTACAGTGTGATATGTGATACAAAAAATATTAATATCTAAACATTCTCATCTTTTCTTACAAATTATCAAAAAAATTTTATTTACATCATGTTTCTATCTGCAAGTTTGTTATTTTTATTCTTCTAAATATCGTCATTTTTCAAAACTTTTTATTTGTTATGTAATTGTGCTCTAGACATACAAGGGTTGTGATTCGGTGAATGTTTACCAAAACCAAGTATAAAAGCACCTCGCCCCCCCGACTCTCTCTAGACTTACAAGGGTTGTGATTCGGTGAATGTTTACCAAAAACAAGTATAAAAGCCCCTCACCCCCCCTCCCCTCTCTAGGTTTACAAGGGTTGTGATTTGATAAGTGTTTACCAAAACCAAGTATAAAAGCCCCTCACCCCCCCTCCCCTCTCTAGGGTTGTAATTTGATAAATGTTTACCAAAAACAAGTATAAACGCCACTCGCCCCCCCCTCTCTCTCTAGACTTACAAGGGTTGTAATTCGATAAATGTTTACCAAAAACAAGTATAAACGCCACTCGCCCCCCCCTCTCTCTCTAGACTTACAAGGGTTGTAATTCGATAAATGTTTACCAAAAACAAGTATAAAAGCCACTCGCCCCCCCCCCCCTCTCTAGGCTTACAAGGGTTGTAATTCGATAAATGTTTACCAAAATTAAGTATTAAAACCCTTCTCTCTTTTTAATTATTATTATGGCTCATTACTATCCTCATACTCTAAACAAGTTGAGGTCTATCCTCAAACTCTGATTTTTAATCCCAATATTTTTGTAACACTACGTCGTAGATCTTTAATAACATAGACTATGAATTATGTTCTTGATCAAATAGTTTGAAAAAATTTCAACGATATAGAGATTATAAAATTATAGAGTTTGAGGATTTGAATCGAAAAATAGAAACTTTTCTTTCATTCCAACAATGTCCAATCTCTGAGTCGATAAAAACTTTTAATTACAAATTAAGTTGAAACTAAGAAAACCCTTTCTTGTATAAATATGTATTGTTAAATCGAGACAAAGAAAAGATCCAATAATCAATATTCACCCAGCACTCCTAAGGAGGAAGGGGGGCTGGTAAAAAGGGGAGAAGCTAATAAATGTTTGAATTGTAATAATAAATTGTTATTAGAAAGTTAATAAATCATATTAATGAAATTGTGTCGAGAGAAGAGATATAACAAATAAACTATATAATACACATCTTAACTTGACCTACCGCAGCAATGAAAAGGCATGTTCAATGTTCATAGCCCAATTTTTCAAGGTCAGCTCATAGAAAAAAAATTAGACCGATAACTTTAAATGCTCAATTGCATCAAGAGGTTTATTCTATTTTCAAGAAATCTGCGTTATACAATATTTTGCAGAATTAAAAAAAATTGAAATGGATTCGGAAGAGAAAAAAAATGATGTGATTTTTTTACGAAAGCTAAAGTAATCTATGTTGCTAGAATTAATGCTTCTGATGCAGTATAAGAAGGATAGGGAGGGTAGGGGAGAGGTTTTGGGGATATATAAATTTTGATAGATGTTCGACATTTATCTCTTTGGCATTTATTTAAAGCAGATTCCTGGCTCTCAATAGGTTAATTCCGGGTACACAGATACATTACAGTATATATGATATAGGATACTTTACAGACTACAGGATACAGGGATACATTACAGCATACATGATATAGGATACTTTACAGATTACAAGATACAGGGATAGATTACAGCATACATGATACAGGATACTTTAAAGATTACAAGATACAGGGATAGATTACAGCATACATAATATAGGATACTTTACAGATTACAGGAAACAGGGATACATAACTACAAACATGATGCAAGATACTTTACTGAGTACAGGGATACATTACAGCATACATGATATAGGATACTTTACAGATTACAGGATACAGGGATAGATTACAGCATACATGATACAGGATACTTTAAAGATTACAAGATACAGGGATAGATCACAGCATACATGATATAGGATACTTTACAGATTATAGGATACAGGGATACAATACAGCATACATGATACAGGATACTTTACAGAGTACAGGGATACATTACAGCATACATGATATAGGATACTTTACAGATTACAGGATACAGGGATACATTACAGCATACATAATATTGGATACTTTACAGATTACAAGATAAAGGGATACATTACAGCATACATGATATAGGATACTTTATAGATTGAAAGATGCAGGGATACATTACAGCATACATGATATAGGATACTTTACAGATTACAAGATACAGGGATACATTACAGGATAAATGATACAGGATACTTTACAGATTACAAGATACAGGGATACATTACAACATACATGATATAGGATACTTTACATATTACAAGATGCAGGGATAGATTACGGCAAACATGATAAAGGATACTTTACAGATTACAAGATGCAGGGATAGATTACAGCATACATGATATAGGATACTTTACAGGATACAGGATCCAGGGATATATTACAGGATACATGATAAAGGATACTTCACAGATTACAAGATGCAGAGATACATTACAGCATACATGATCCAGGATACTTTACAGATTACAAGATGCAGGGATAGAATAGCATACATGATACAGGATAATTTACAGATTACAGGATACAGGGATACATTATACATGATATAGGATACTTTACAGATTACAGGATACAGGGATTCATTACAGCATACATGATACAGGGTACTTTACAGATTACTAGATAAAGGGATACATTACAACATACATGATATAGGATACTTTACAGATTACAAGATAAAGGGATACATTACAGCATACATGATATACGATACTATACAGATTACAAGATGTAGGGATAGATTACAGCATAAATGATATAGGATACATTACAGATTACAAGATAAAGGGATACATTACAGAATACATGATACAGGATACTTTACAGATTACAAGAAAAAGGGATACATTACAGCATACATGATATAGGATACTTTACAGATTACAATATACAGGGATAGATAACAGCATACATGATATAGGATACTTTACAGATTACAGGATACAGGGATACATTACAGCATACATGATATAGGATACTTTACAGATTACAGGAAACAGGGATACATTACAGCATACATGATACAGGATACTTTACAAAGTACAAGGATACATTACAGCATACATGATATAGGATATTTTACAGATTACAGGATACAGGGATAGATTACAGAATACATGATACAGGATACTTTA